GGAGAGTAAGATACCAAAGAAACTTACAACAGTTGTACAGGTCAGTGCAAGTATACAAACAAACACAAGTAACTGCAATAAAATGTAAACAAAGGAAATGCAAAATAACCAGCACGAACACGGGTCGCCATTCCACGCCGATACCCGTGACAATACAGCAGTTAGGTGTAACGAAGGCTAAGAGTATACCCCAGTGCTGATATCGTAGATAGAATTATCGAAAATGGCGTATGCCTATTTAGGAGTCGTGATCAGCTTTAATTGAGGTTTAAAGGACATACCTGGGACAACAAACTTGATGAGGCACAAAATGGAATGGATATCGACTGAGCCATTGAGATTGAAACAGTACTTGATTCCATTCAGTACAGAAAATGTTAGAGAAGAAGTAGAAAATTTGCTACAATGAAGGTCATTGAACATTCTTCTCCATATTCAGCTTCAGTTGTATTTACTAGAAAAAGAACGGAACAGATCGATTTTGCATTAACTTCATAAAACTTTACAGCGTCACAGTATTTGATGCAGATACATTCCTAATCCAGAGAGCATATACTCCAAGCTGGTTGAAGAGAATTTTTGTCTCGAAAATTGAAATGAGTAAAGGACTTGATTCAAATAATCGAATAAAAAATAAGTTTACAAAAGTGAGTTCGATAATCGCCTAAATAGAGTATAATTATGGAAGTACTTGGTCACATAAATACACTGCAATTTTTCGTTTAGGGGTGTGTGTAACAATATCACTAGTTAATACTCTCTGACACCTCGTCATACTATATGGAGTATTACTCTCGAATGTCCCTTTATGTAAATAAATCTACCCATTATTACTTGCAAAGAGACTCAGTCTACAGACAGTGGCGTAAATTCTTTTCCATTTATGTGTAGGCTAGTGTGAAGTCACAAATTTAACCTGAGGCAAAAAGTGTGGGTAGACAGGGAGCGGGTCGGCTCCACGGGATGGGGGGGGGGGGGTTCGAAGGAAGCATTTTTGCGAAACTCGAAGTCATCTACGATTGTCATTTGACCAATGAAAATAATATTGTAAACATATTTTCAGTTTATATCATGATATTATTGATTGATTGTTGTTTTACTTCCTATTCGAGAATTTTTCACTCATAGAGACGTCACCATATTCCGGTGAAGGGCTTCAAATTTAGACATTTACTCGGCACTCAGGGCCATTGTGCAGTGAGGGTTCTTTATCTTGCCAACGCCTATTTTTTAGGTCTCGATCATCCGAAGGACCCGCAACTTTAACTTCAAAGTAACGAGCGCTTGGCGAAGGAACAGTTGCTACCTATTTTTTTTTTCAACTTAGGCCAGTCGCGGCCATGATTCGGACACACAACCTTCTGATCACGGAGCGAGCGCTCTACCAACTGAGCTACCGTCACTATCTATCATGATATGAAGACCACTTAACAAAACTGAGAACTCTTAACTTATTCTTTTACTTTGCTTAGAAAATATGGAAATTCCTTAATGAATTATTCAATTACGAACAAAACGTTTAATAATTCCCACTAACCAAAATATTTTTAGTAATTTAATTTATTTCCTGCACTAATCACGGACTCCTGTTGCTCTCAATGGTTTTGAAATTGTCTGATACAGACTTAATTTTAACGTAGGAATGAAAATGAATATTGTTAATTGAAAAAAAAAAAACGTCGTCAATATATCTAAATGTTGAATTGAAGCACACAGCAGGAGACGTCTATATATATAAAGTGCTCAACCTATCGCCATCCGCCAACGTATTTCAGATTCAAATTTGTCCATTATCTTTATTATCACCCCCGATTATTACCACCAATAATGAGACTTTGTTCTTTCTTTTTTTTGACAATCGGATCGGTAAGTCCGAGTTATAATAAAATCAAATGACAAACATTTATGTCAGAATAAATATATATTCCTTTAAAACCTCCTTTTGAACTTGTTCAGAACTAATTGATATTAATTATTAAATATCATTGGTCATCACATTGTTTAGTAAGCTTTATTAATCTGACTCTACAACTCTGTTGAATTACCAGATTTTGTCTGCAGCAATCAAGTAGAAAGGATATGTTTATGACGCTAACAATAACGGATGCAAAATAAAAAAATAATAATAAAACAGTGGAATTACATTTTGATAAACTAAATTGACAGAATTAGTTGACTTCAACATTAGTATCAATTTTATGGGTGACAGTTGTTAATAGTGTGTAAAATTTATGAGATAATCAAGCCATTTTTAGCTCACCCAAGCTGAAGGCACAAGTGAGCTTTTCTGATCAAAGAGTGTCTGGTCTCCGTCTGTCGTCTGTTAAATTTTCACATTTCCGACTTCTTCTCAAGACCCACTTAGCCAATTTTAACCAAACCTGCCATAAAGCATCCTTGGGTGAAGGAGATTCAAGTTTGTTCACAGGAAGTGCCACGCCCTCTTTAAATGGGAGATAATTAAGAATTTGTGAAATGAGCAAGGACCACTTAGGGCCTTTTTTGGCCCTGTAATTTCTGAAAAATTAAAACTGCATACTTTTAGTCGATAAGGCAATAAATATCACTTGAACACTTGGTGACTGAAATTCTACTAAAAATGACGTGATTTTCTTGCTAGTCAATGCATTATGACGTCATGAATTGCGTCATTATTCACATTTCCCGTATATTTCTTCAAAAATGGCCAAAATATGATATCTTTCAATATTTCGTATACAGCACAACCTCCGATCCAAAATGTGTAAATATATTATGAAAGAACTGTTCATTAAGATTATAAAACATACTTTAATTATTGGATCGAGGGGTGTGCTCATACTTTTATTCTTTGTAGAAGGTTCTCAAATTCACCTGTTTTCTGCAAAATTCAAGAACATTGCAATTTTACACAACCTGTTTTCCAGTACCTGGACTTTTTAGAGAAAACTTTTATATACAAACTGAAAGCGCCAAGTCTCTACTTTATATTGTTGTTGAGAAAGGGACATAGTTTGTTAGTATATAAATTGGTTTATCTACAGGGCCATTTTATGTATAAAGTGAACCTAGCTCTTTGATGGCATCTTTTAAAAAACTTCTTCTCAAGAACCACTGGGCAAGGAAAGATGAAACTTATGTGAAAGCTTCATTACATATTCTAGCTTCAAGTTTGTTCATATCATAACCCCGGGGGGTAGGGCGGGGCCACGACAGAGTGCCAAATTTTTACATAGGAATATATAGGAATATCTTTAAAAAAGAAAGCCATGATTAGTCATATTATAAAAGAAGTATCCCAGGTAGTGTAGAATCAAGTTTGTTCCAATCATGACCCCTGGGGTAGAACAGGACCACAACAGGGGTCAAAGTTTAATACCATCAGAATATAGAAAATATCTTAAAAAATCTTCTCAAGAACAGCTGAATCATTATTAGTTATATTGATACAGAAGTATCCCCAGGTATTGTAGATTCAAGTTTGTTCAAATCATGACCACTGGGGTAGGGCGAGGCCACAAAAGTGGGTTTCAGTTTTACATAGGAATATATAGGTGTAATGGATAAGGAGTATTTCAGTTAAACGCAGTGAAGACTTTAAATAGTGGAATTACCTGATAACTCTTTGAATGGACTAGCCAAAGGGTATACAAGGCAAAGATTTGGGAAAGGCTAGTAGAAGAAGTTGGATGTTGAATCAGCAATAAAGAAGTTAAGGTTTTCCATCCCTAATAGCACAGATTCAATGAAATTGAATATATAACAGATATATGGTGGTTGAATACTCAGTATATTTAGACACAATTCCCATTTATTACTACATGTATTAGTATGTAAGGGTTGGATGTGTCCTAATCTATGACCTTGAAATTTGGTAAGAAATATCTCACTCTGTTTTTAATTAATAAAAAAAAATCAATTATCAAAAACTTATCTGGTAAAAAAAAAGTTTTCAATTGTCATTCTATTCCTAATGTTTTAATGCATCTTTCCACCAGAATATTTATTGATATTCTTATTTCTTATTATTTGAATTTTTATTTCTAAAAAACCGATGCCCCCATTGACTTCAATGGAATCTTTGTTAGTTGATTACTTCTTAGTTAATTAAATTTTTGGAACTTTCTCTTGGTAAATCCTTTTCTACTGTAAAGTGCTTTAAATTAATATCAGAGTATTATGTACGTGATGGACATTCAAGGATGAAAAAAATTTATTAGGGATGGAAAACCTTAAGGGTGAGAGCAAATTAAAAGTATAAAAGCAATAAACACCAGTGGCAAGTATACTAGGGAATTGATGTTAAGTACTGGGTGTAGTAAATCTGAAGAAGATTGAGAAACCCGGTTCTTATCTATCAGTGGGAACCTAGAGGAGAAACACGATGCAAGTAGTACCATACCCAGTCCTCATCTCTAGATAAGAGAAAATTTAAGTAATGTGTGATATACCCTCAGTCAAAGATGTCTTAATAATCATTCCAATCATTAACTTAGAGGAGTAAAAATACCCTATATATCCCTTGTAAGAACCTGATCATACACGTTAAAATCTTCTTCTCCAGAATATCTGAGCCATTATTAGTCATATTCATACAGAAGCAACCTTAGGTATTGTAGAATCAAGTTTGTTCAAATTATGAACCCCCAGGGGATGGGGGGAGGAGCACAATAGAAGGTCAAAGTTTTATATATGAATATACAGGAATCATCTTGAAAAAAATCTTCTGCTCAAGAACAGCAAAGCCACGATTAGAAATATTGATAAGGAAGCATCCTGAGGTAATGTAAATTTAAATTTTGCCCCCCCCCCCCCCGTCCAATACTGTACTGACTCCTGCTTCTTCCTAGCCAGTGTGCTCTGGTGAGCGACGTGGCCCATTTTTAACAGTACTAGTGAAGGGCAATTTCAATATATATATATATATATATATATATATATATATATATATATATATATATATATATATATATATATATATATATATATATATATATATATATATACTTTTAATCTCACAGGCCTACAATTGATATTGCAAGTGGAAAAATTTGAGTTGTTAAATGATTTATTTGATGGGACTGGTTTTCGACTCGTTATACACGAACCTGGAACATTTCCATTTCCTCAGAAGGAAGGTTACACTATCAGCCCTGGGTATGAAACAACCATTGGAATGAGAATGGTTAGTAGCGTTAAAAAATTTAGAAAAAAATATACCGGGTTTAAAAGTGAAGTGAAAAGATCTATTTATCATTCAAAAACTGTTGGCTTTCTGTCAATAAGTGCATAAATCCATTCATATTAATCAGGTACGTGTGATGCGTGCAAAACCACCATATGGTATCTGTGAATCAGGAGATGTCTTCTACAAGACCTACGGATATCGCTATTCTATGCAGGTAAGTGAGCACGTGTATACATTTTAAATAACATGTAATTTGTTTGAAAGATATATCACGCGTTGTTTTGTCCTATTCAGAAAGGACAGTAATCCAAGTTTATTTGCTCACTAAATAGAATGAAATATAGAGTTTAGAGAAAATTTAAACGAGAAAGTTCAATTTTGAAAGTTTAAATTAATTGAACAAAGAGAATTTAGGCCAGATTACCGTCCTTATATTTGCTACCTGTTAACTAACATACGTTTTGTAATCCCCATTAAGTTCTGAGGCAAGAAAGTATTGTATGCAGATTATTTTACCGCAAGGAAAAGGAAAAAAAACATGATAAATTTCAATGATTCTGATTGTTAGAACTTATTATTTTTAGCTTGCAAAATATTGAATTACAAAGGATGACCATATATGCAAGTCCAGTAATATATTTATCCTATGTAATGTTTAAAATAACATTTTGTACACTTTTATATGTAATACGCACGATTAAAATAAACCCCAGAAAAAAAAAAAAACAAAAAGAAAAAAACAAACAAAAAATCTGTAGATTTTGTGAACGAATAATGCTAAAAAATCATTAATAAAGCAAAGTTGTATTTTTTCTAGGCGTGTCTTGAAATCTGCAGATTTCGGAAAGTTGTCGAAATCTGTAAATGTCGACCTTTAGACAATATTATGGACATCAAATTTATAGAGAGGTTTAGAGCTACTCCAATTTGTACTGCAGGTATGTATTACTTGTCAAAGGAATTTTATTTCCTCAATATTTCGTTTTTATACTACGTATGTAAAAACATTTTACATAGTCTCCATTTTTCTTTCTGCCTTTATGTGTCGTCTGCAGAGCAGAACGACACTTAGGGATCACATTACCCGGCGCCTGTCTTTCCGTCTGTCACACCTTACATGTATATTGAACTGTAAGAGGTTTGGATTTGAATATTCTAAGTATTCCCCCAAGTGTTGGCCGGAAGTACAAAATATCAACGGAAGTAGGAATTAGACGTCACTCGCATATACTAGTCTGTGATCAAGGATTCAGTTGTCTCAAAGCGTGTAGATGAACACCAGAGTAGACTATAAAAGGTCACCTATTTAAATATTGTACAACATCATATAATAAACTAATCTATCCAACATCATAAATCTCACTAACACGCCTAACGTATACATATGTAACAAAAACTATAGTACAAATATGGTCTTCCGTAACTACCCTTGTATTTAAATTGAGAGGAAAAAGAAACGCAGGGTTACAAAATACGCCAAAAATTTTTTTTGACTGCATAACCGAAAATTATGAAAATTGGTCAGCGGGGTATCTTGGTTACTGTGCATTTAAATCAGTGTTCAGAATTATCAAGCCATGAAATGCATGTCGTCACATGGGGAAAGTGGTAAAAAGCCAAAAATACGTGCATATTGTTGACGATATGCTTTTCAACACATCTCAAAGTACCACTTGACAGGAATACTGGAAAATACGTCTGAAAATATAACCTTATTTCACCTAAAAAGTTTACCCTGCGTTTCTTTTTCCTTTCAGTATATATAAACCAGATAATTTACGTCTAGTATCGACAAAATTGAATGCTTTCGTTTACACAAACTTCAAGAAAAACTAGTAAATATCATTACTGGACTGTAGTCACTCACACTCTTACAAATGCCAAAACAAAAGGCACTGGTTTCAAATGGTCCACACAGGTACCAGTAATGCATCCCATTTCTACACAGCACGGGAGCTGCCCAGTCCACTAAGTATGGGTCATAATTTCACACAGTCCGCACAGTTTGGTGTCCAGAACTAATCTGATAAACCTGGCCAAAACCCCCGGATAAATGTAACTGTTAATATCATAAAACTTTACAAACGATGCCGAAGCTCTGTATACTACAATTCAGTGACCATCGATGCGTGCAAAGTTAAACTCTCCACAATGCATGGAAGGGTATTTGGAGCAATATTTTACAATATTATAACAATTTCTCCCTTCCTAAGAACAAAATATATTTTGTTAAAACGTAATCAAGTCTTTTTTTTTTTTTATAATTTGTAAACTTTACGGCGCACTCTAAACTGCAACATAGCGACTCAGCACCTATGTTGTTTTTCTGTTCCTTTGATTACCTCTGCTGACGTGAAGTTGTAAGACTGCAGGAAAAGTGACCACCTCATCAGGGGAGAGTTCGCTACTTTTGCCCCCTCTGAGGATGAACTAAGGGTTGATGATCAGTTTCTATGATAAATGATTTGTCAGATAAGTATGCTTGAAATTTCTGTAGAGCCCAAATTATAGCAAGACATTCTTTTTCTATTACTGGATACCTTTGTTCTCTATCGATCAATTTCTGACAAGCATAAGCGACTGGATTCTTCTTTCCGTCGTGATCAGCATCAGAACAGCACCAACACCTTGACTAGATGCATCTATTCTCGGGATAAATGTTTTGTTAGGTCCGGAAGTCTTAGAATAGGACTAAAATCTAACATTGATTTCAAAGTCTTGAATGCATTTTCACATTGAGGTTTCCACTCAAACTTATTAGGAACACCTTTTCTTATCAAGTCACTTGAAGGAACCGCTACTGTTGCGAAATTCGGAAAAAAAACTTTCGGTAGTTCCCAAGTAACCCTAGGAAAGATCTCACCTCCTATTTGGTTTTTGATCTTGGAGTGTCCTGGATTGCCTTTAACTTCTCGTTCATTGGTTTTATGATGCCCTCACCAATGATATGTCCCAAATACACCAACTGGGTTTGACCAATCTCAGATTTGGATGGTTTGGCTGTTAGGTGTGTGAATGTCTCAGCCTCTCCAATACTATTTTCGGTTCCAGGATATGATCTTCAAAAGACTCTGTATGAATTTATCATATCATCCAAAAAACAAACAGTATGTTGTAAACCCTTGCATATCTTATGCGTTAATCTGTTGAAAGTTGCAGGACTGTTCGACATACCAAACGGCTTGACCTTGAATCTGTAAAGACCACCCGGAGTCAAAAAGAATGTCAAATCCCGATCTTGTGGTCTCATGGGAAAAACTCTGTCATAGTTTTTCTTGTATCTTTCGATAAATGAATTTCTGTAATTCTTTTTTCACCAGTTTACACGTACTCGAGAATCTTTCCTTCAGATCCAAAACATACTGGTAAGTGCTTTTGACCTCTGGTTGCAATTCTTTTGTCCACATCTCTTAACATCATTGGACCCCTAACTGTTCTACCAAACAGAAGCTCAAATGGTGAAAACTTTGTACTTTCTTGAGGCACTTCTCTATATGCAAATAGAAGAGCAGGTAAGTATCTATCCCAGTTTTTGGTCTTTCAGAGCACATTTTACGTAACATGGACTTGAGTGTACCGTTAAATTTTCAACTTAGCCAATACATGAAGGATGATAAGGTGTTGTTACCATCTGTTTAATTGACAAAAGATGACTAACCTCTTTCATAGTGTTTGATTTGAACTGTGTGCCCATATCGGTAAGGATTTCTTTCGGTATGCCCATCATGTTGAAGATACACACTAGCTATCGGCCACTCTCTCCGTCTCTATTACTTTCAATGGAATTGCTTCTGGATATCTGGTTACCTACAGTTAAAATATATCTATTACCTTTTTCAGTAACTGGTGCTAAAGGATCAATCAGATCAAACGATACTCTCTCAAACGCTGTGTCGATGAATGGAACTTTTAATTTGTCACTTTGCCTTTTGGAAAGGTCCGTTGTAATACATCGCATGATTGACAATATCTTTTGACATCACCTTGAATTCCCGCCAGTAGAAACTTGACGATATGCGGTCTACTGTTTTCTTCGTTCCTAGGTGTCATACCAGAATACTGTCGTGTGTCTAAGAGTTCCAGGAATAACTAGCTGTTTAAATATTTTGTTGTCACTGACCTTTGAAGACAGGAAATACCTGTATTGCAGCCATTTTCCATAGAAAAGCAGGAAACAATCACCAAGGTGTTTCATCTTACCAGACATTGCAAGATTTCTGTAGGTACTCAATGATTCATCTGTCGTCTGTAATTCTTTCATTTTATCTATATTGATATCAAGGTCTATCGAATCTATAACATTTAGTTTTTCCATATCTTTCTCTTCCTTAACCTTCTGACTTCTGGTCTGCAGAGCTTGAAGTAAGTTGTTTTCTCTATCTTCTCTTCTTCGCCACAGTGGATCTGGATCTGAGTGAAATATGAAGATAACGAACAGTATTCAATCTCGAAAGTCCACTGAAACGATACGAATTTGGAGCAGAGCAAACAAGGACCTCAAAATTTAGAGATGGGATCAGGTGCCATAGAGGAGTGAGCATCTTGTCATGATCGGGAAACAAAAACCGGAAATATCCGTAGAGAGATCAGTGTATAAATAATGGCCTAACAATCAGTATGAAAAAAGTCAGTCAGCATTTGACTCAATGACAGGTTGTATGTGCTGACAAGGTCATTGTATCGACCGAAAAACTTGCAAAAAGTTGACTTCAAACGAGACTGTTGATATCCTTGTTTCGTCAACTTGTTTGTCAACAGCTTGCCTTATTTTAGAAATTGTTCATACGTAGAGCATGCATTTGCGTATCGAATAAACTTAGAGATATACACCCCCATATGCAGGTGATAAGGATTTATTGCTACATAAGTAAGGGAAATTGACGATTGAAATGTTTAAGTCATCACGTTTATCATAAAGCTTTGTTGTTAGGTTACCAATAACGTCTTTGTCTAGTAAAATATTTAAATATGAAACAGATGTGTCAGAATCTGTGGTATCTTTTAATTCAAGCTCACTGGATTATATCAAGTCGACATATGAATGAAAATAACTATTGTTAATTGATAATACGTCGTCAATATATCTAAATGTCGAGTTGAAGGCCTCAGCAAGTGTTTTCTTCTTCTCATATAGAAGTTTTTGAATAAATTCTGCTTCATATGAATACAAAAATAGGTCTGCTTATAAGGGGGCGCAATTGGTACCCATGGGAATTCCAACAGATTGTTGGAAGAACTGATCTCCATAAATACATAGATACATGTATTTTCAATCAGAAACTCAAGTATCTTTTTAATATCAACTTCAGAGTATTTGTTTGTACAATCAGAGTGCTTTTTAACAAAATAATTTTGTAAATGACCAATGACAAGGTAAGTAAATTTACGAATTCCATTTTTATTAAAAAACAGCTGTCTATGATGTCAAAAAGCAGCTGTCTATGATGTCAAAAAGCCTGGACTTTAATTTATCGTGGGGTATGGTTGTATAAAGTGTTGAAAAGTCGAACGTTTTGATGCTATTGATTTTAGTAAAATTTTGTGATTTTAAATTTTCCAAAAGTTCTTTGGAGTTTTTAAGTATCCACATCTGATTTACACCACTTCTCGAATATAATGTTGAACAGTACTCCTGAAGTTTCTCCTTCATTACAGTAAATATTTTAGTGAGGAGTAAAGAAAGAGGCTTGATAGAAGATTTACTGGAACCCGCTATGTATCTTTGTTTGTAAGGAGTGGCATCTTACGCTTTGTACATTTCCTATAATGAGATCAAATATGGTCGAAGGTCCTGAATTCGACAGGGTCCGAGTTTCGTTATTTACAGACGGACAGACAGACAGCTAGACAGACAGACGACGGACAAAATGTGATCAGAAAAACTCTCTTGAGCTTTCAGCTTAGGTTAGCTAAAAACGTCAATAATCCATATCAATAATGGTAATAATTAAAATAAACTTACCCAGATTAGATGAACTCTGGTCATGTTAAACATTTAATATACATATAATTAGTAGAAACCTTGAGCCATTCTTCCGGAACCAATTCAAGTAAAAAAAAAACAGGAAACATTCCAGAACTATTAAGAAATTGTCAAACAAGTCAACAACTAAAGGGTACTACCGTGGTTACGTGAAGTGGATAACATGGTTGGAGAAAATGGTATTCAAAATAACAATCTTCTATGAAACATTTTGTGATTTGTGTTTATCTGGCAAGCTTAATTTAAGAAGGAGTCTCTGCAAGTACGTTACCTTCAGCTTTTTATGGAAATCAATGTGGGTATTTCGAAGTCGGAATTTCTCCAACAGATTCAGAGCTTGTGAAAAATATTTTTGAAGTAAGACATTGACGTTTCTCAGTACCTGTAACGATAAAAGAACCTTTTAATGCAGATTTGCTGAGAAAGATGTCTTTCTTACGAAGCTTTTTTTTTTTTTAAAAAAATTATCAAAGAAACGTTTGTGCATGCGATTTTTTTGATGTTGTTGTGGTTTTTGTTGTTTTTGTTTTGCTTTGCAGTGGAATATTAATATAGATGTTCAGATGCTTGTTTTGAACGAAGTCACTTGTCTTTTTGCATAATAGGAAAAAGCAAAACTAATATCTATTTGGACGATTTGTATGTCGTGATTGCTACAACGCGAATCGAACTACTGTGAAATAACTAATTTTCATGGGGGAGGGGGTAATTTTCGTTGATTTCGTGGGATAAAGAGACCCACGAATTCATGTCTCCCACGAAATGTTAAGATTCTATTTAACAGTATAAAGTCTATCCTTAAACACAAAATAAATATTGGACTCCACCAAAATAAGAGATTTTACAGTATGTACTTTCAAAAATGTGAAAATGAATTCTAATTGGTGTTATATTTTCTATTGAAAGTTCAAAACTTATTTTCCGAAATATAAGTACGTAAAGGCAAATTCTGATTATCATATAAGAAAGGAAAATAACCATTAACTTTTTCAAGAATGCAAGAATTGTTTATTGATGCTTTTCATGATGATGAACAAAATTTGGTTTACACAGATTAAGAGCGGGTGGTGCCCAATCTGATTAAAGTAAAACTTTGTTACGCTCCGAAATTCTGATAGTCGCTGTACAGATTTTAATTAGAGTAGGGTGGTGTCACAATGTGTGCAAATTCTGTTTTTGACAGCTTATTCGAAAGACATGGCAAATGGGGATCAGAGTCTGTGAAGGAGGACTATACATCAAAATATTTTCGAATCTAGATTATTATAGTTTCGTAATATTCAGGTGTATAAAATCTATTTCATATTACCTTTCTTTCAAAATGCATACATGTAGCAATGAGCTCAACAGCAGAACTATTATTTATGTTCCGATATTTAATATTTTCATTAAGTGCAGGTACAGAAGAACAATACAAGATGTCGCCCACGTTGCGCAGTGGTTAGAGCTTTGCTCTAGAGTCGAGGGTTCGAATCAACTGTTTGACTTGGAGACCGGTCCTTCGGATAAGAACGTATAAACCAAGGTCCCGAGTCGTAGTAATTGTTGGCACGTACCAGATCCCTCACTGCTATAAGACTCTAAGTGCTGAATACAGGTCTAAATTTGAGGCGTCTAAATATAAGTAAAACTATAAGAGGTACTGTGAGCACAAAGCTCACAAAATGATATCCCCGCCTCCCTTATGATTATAATGGCAAAGTCCATGTTTTGCTATAAATGACCCGAAATAAGTGTGAGATCAAACAGTAGAATAGGAGGTGCACAATGGCACTATATTTACATACTCTCTGTTTTCTCTCACTATGAACCTGCTCTCACCAGTTGCGTTCATAGCACCAGGAACGCAACTTCTTTTGCTATAAGTGCAGTTCATTTCTTACACTGGCGCAGTACAAGCTACTCCATTTATACAACACATTCAAAAGTGTTGTGCAAAAGGAATAAAATTTAGTATTTAATGGAATCCTCTCGGAAAAAAGAAATTTAAAATGATTAAAATTAATGATTGAGCAGTATATGATTTAAAGCTATATATGGCGCATATGAGCTAAAAAAATAAAAATACGAGATTTAGTGTAGATAAACATGATATATGTTATTTACGTTCGAATTAAAATTTTCACCGATTTTGAACTTGAATAACCTCATGTTTCCATAGTTAAATTGATTTTAAACTGTGTCTGTTAATTACATGCGGAGTCGGTAAATAAATCGGCTATTGTTTTAAAATTCTAATATCTTTGAAACGTGATTGATTTAAATTGTGTAATTTACAGGAAAGTTCTATCTTTATATAAAGTAATACAAAAATAGAAAGATCTTTTTAATTTTAGTTAATCTAAACTTAGAAAGAATACGCCATATATGACTTTAAAAAAGGAATTTCGTCAACGTTGAAATTGTATTATAAATCTTTTTACAAATTACTCACAGAGCTTAAGAATTTAAGAAACATAAGAAAAACATTCTTAAGTTAAAATCAATATATTAAAACATTCTGTTTCTTCATAACATTGTTATTCATAGTTTTTTCAAAGAGTTTCGTTGGCGATGACGTCATGACGCGTCACAACAGCATCAAAACAAAAATTTACGAGAATTTAAAGACGGGGCGGTTTGTATCTAGATATCTATGGTTAATAAGCAAATACCATACATATTGTATGTGATTTATTAGAGATAAAGTGGATTAATTATAAATCAGGTCTATTGATTTTATTGTCTTTTTTTTTTCTTCATTGGCGACAGGCATACACCCGTGCCCTTATGCAGACCAGGATTTCCTCTGATATTCTTGACATCACAGAATGCAAGTATAAGTAATAAACAACAATTATTCATGAACATGGCGTTATGAATAGCAATTAATAGCTCTGCTGGCATATTTTTCATGATGTGCTACCGCGCATCATGGAATATGCCAGCAGAGCAATTGCTTTTCATAACGCCCATTCATGTTCACAGAATAATGTTGTTTATTTCTTAAATGTAACAAAGATTCTGTGAAAGTCAGTAAATTTTCTTGAGTGGTATAGGAGGAATTGCGGATAAGAGATGGGTACATGTACCCCTCAACATAATAGAAAGAATGGTATGTCTATGTTTTTTTACTAGAAACCCAAAATAAGCGTCAGATCAAAAGTAAAATAGGGAGTGCACAAACACAATGGCACTATGTTACAAAGATTCTGTGAAAGTGTCATTAAATTTTATTCAGTGGTGTAGGAGGAGTTGCGGATAAGAGATGGGCACCCCTCAAAATTAAAGAAAGAATGGCAATGTCTATGTTTTCGAAATATGTCTGATCAAAAAGTAAAAAAAAAAAACGTTGCACAATGGCATTATGTAACAAAGATTCTATGAAAGTCTCATTAAATTTCATTCTGTGGTATAGAGGAGTTGCGGATAAAAGATGGGTACCCCAAAGCGTATTTGACGGACGTTCAGACAGACGGACGGACGGACATCCCCAATACTATACATAAAATAAAATATATATAATATGTATAAATACTCGAAGGGAATTAAACAAACAAACTGCTAAAAGACCACGTTTTGTGACGCATTGAACTGGTGCATAATGTTATAATAATAAAAATGCAGAATAAATATTATCAATATGTCTATAAATATGTTGAATGTTATAAAGAATTATTATATTTTGTTAGAAAGGCAATAACATTCCCCTTTTCACAATAATCTTGAGATGACTTTCACCAGCATAATTTCATCCAAGTGGAAAACAATGAACCTTCATGCCAAGTACCTGTACTTGAAATCTCTTTTTATCGCATATGCTGCTGGTTTAAAAATAATTATATATGTTTCAGATACTTATATTTATTTCTGTATCATTTTAAATAGACGTCACAACAGTTAGTAATGTAACAAACATTACTAATAGCGAGAACGAAAAGAGGAAATACAGAGATCCCATGCAATGTGAGGAATTCATTTATATTCAAATTGCTGAAAATTATATCAACTGTGGTTGCGAAAGTCCATGCAGGTAAGTTAGCCATGACCAAGCTGACTCTTTAAATCATTCATGCATTAATATTACTGAGCAGAATCTAGAATTATATATACTGACACGCAAAAGAAAAGTAACAATTGAGATCTTAAAATTTTCATCTAAATATATTCACAATTTTACAGTAAAAGATTTTATAACTTGATTTAAAACCGCAGTGTGGATTTAATAGAAATGTACTTACATTATCTTTTAACGTTAAAAAGTGACAGGAAACTGCTTAAACCCCCTCCCCGACCCCAACTTGAATGATTGCGAGTATTTCCACCATGCCCAACAGATGAAGCTCTTTACGATGAATTAAGGTTATATTCTCTTGATTTTAGCGATTGAAATATTCTTCCAGTCTTTTTTAATTGCTTATTTCTCCGATAATGAAGTCGAATTCTTCGATCCTGGCACTGCGTGGTAACTCTTGGTCTTCCCATGTACGGGCTGCCAGTCAAACTAGTGAGACAAACGCGCCTGTAAAGGCAGGATATAGTGCATGTTTGCATCTTCAACTTTATTTAGAGAACTTCCCGCTAGGAGCAATTGGAGTGCGTGCTTACAGTCATTTTCAGGAAGCTTTACAGCAACTGTGGCATCACTTAAGGAAAGAAAACGAGATCTATTTATTCGGAATATTGCTGCAATATTTATGATGAACAGAAACAAACTCTTATAAGCCCAAATTAAAGCTAACCTTTTTGTCAAAAGTGCAGTGTAAGATTTCCGTTTAATCGGGCTCAAACCTAAGCCCGGTTACGATTAGAAAATCATACCATTATTGCTAATGCTTTCGAGCACTAGCATCTATATCAGTCTTTTTTACTGGAATACGCATGCTGGACTTCACGGTTGGGTATTCTTGGAATACAATTGTAGATAAACTGTACCATGTCAATTTCTTTTCTTCTTTTTTTTTTTTTATCTGAAAATACATATGATCTGAAGTTTCGTGTTTTGTTGTCTAACCTAAACATAAATGTACAAAAAGTAACAGTAACTTAGGACTTGTAATGCCAAGACTATGGAGATCAATTATTTCTATAAATTATGATAAATACCTAGCACTGGAATATTATAAACTAGGTCAAAATTTAAATAACAGTAACTACAGAATGCCACATTTAATGCGCTATGTCATTGCCAATGTAAAGCAACTCTAGATTCACCATTCTGAATTGAGGACCCCCACCCCAACACAACCCCAGTGCTCTACTGTGCCTTCCTGTTAATAATTAATCAATCCAGCATATTAAACCATCTACTTCTGTATTTTACGGTGGCAACAGCTCTAGCCCACATATCTGTTTTAAAGATAAGCTTGTAACACATACTACGCAAAGTTGAAGATGTCTTTTCTTTTATAATACCAAATTTTTCCTTTAAAAATCAGATGTTGTATTTCTTTTGCGTGTCAGTATTTATTTCATACATGTGTATGAAATAAATTATCGGGTATGTTTTATCAATAGCACTTCCGATTTTGACACAGTCTCTCGCTTCAATATGCAAATTTATCGAAATTTCTGGTTGTAAAAATTTTTAACGTGTTTGGGTCTGTGTATTTGGGTATAGATCCTTAATCAAGACAATTTAAACAAATGATTAGAAATGATAAGTGACAAAGCATGTGAAAATAAACGAGTCAATACATACAGATATAATAAGACCGCAGAACATTAACTGGCAAAATTGAAAATATGCAGCTTACGTCATATCCATATGTTACAGTCAAAATGTTTCATGATAGACAATGAAATTGGCGGGTACAATTCGAAACGGACGTCCGTAAAAACATTGGATTGAAATTCTAGTTTAAAATTAATTTTCAATCCACCTGAGCTAAAGTGTGAATGTATGATCCAAAAGAGAAATAATTTCAATTGCCAAATACATGTTGTTTGAAATTTCATATTTATATGCATGAGTTTTGGCCTATAATTTTAAGGACACGTAAACGTCATAGATGACAGAGGTTTCGTCTTCATTGAAAAAAATGTTTGACAAACAAAAAGGGAGGAGTTGTCCAAACTAAAAGAAAACTTTCTTATTTATTTCCAAGATCGTTCAGCCCCCATCCCCCCAGCACACACATACACATACCAAACAGGAGTCGAATATTTTTTTGAAAACACTGGACAGAAAATTCTGATTTATATAAATTTCAAACTATTCCGAAATTGAAATTATTTGTCTTCTGGATCAATCAGTAACACCGTGCGTTCTAGCGTAGCTGAGGTGGATTGAAAATGAAATTCAATCCAATGTTTTCTCGGATGTCCCTGTCGAATTGTACCCGCCCATTTCATTGTCTATCATTAAATGTTTTGACTGTAACAGATGGAAATGACGTAAACTGCATATTTCCAAATTTTGCCAGTTAATGTTCCACGGTCTTAATAGGATTCCCGATCCTTAACATAGAAACAACTAGATATCATTGAGATAGTGGCCATTTCAAAGGGCCCCGCTTTCAGCAACGAACATGAAAATATAATGTAGCATATTTTTGACCTTGACCCTTGACCTAGAAACTTCGTTTAAGGTCACTGCACATCCATTGACCAGTACCACAATGGACCAAGGGGAGAAAAGATATGCTCTGGACAAGAATTTTTCATATAATTCTGCTATGACCTTAACCTTAGACCTAGAAACATGGTTCAAGGTCACTACATACCCTTTACCCTAAGGCACTCTGTGGGTGAAATATGAGCCAGATTGGGCCAAGGAGAGAGAAAATATTTTGACCTTGACCCTCGACCTAGAAACTTTTTTCAAGGTCACTGCACATCCATTGACCAGTGCCACTCTGTGAGTGTAGTTTGAGCCACATTGGACCAAGGGGAGAGAAGATATGCTCCAAACAAGGATTTTTGCATAATTCTGCTATGACCTTAACCTTAGACCTAGAAACATGGTTTAAGGTCACTGTACACGCTTTACCAAAAGGCTCTCTGTGGGTGAAGTATGAGCCAGATTGGGCCAAGGAGAGAGAAAATATTCTCCGGACAAGAATTTCAACAGAGAGGCTATTTTTGACCTTGACCCTTGATCTACAAAATTTTGTTCAAGGGCACTGTACATCCATTGACCAGTGGCACTCTGTGAGTGAAGTATGAGCCACATTGGACCAAGTGGAGGGAAGATATGCTCCGGACAAGAATTTTTCTTATAATTCTGCTATGACCTTAACCTTAGACATAGAAACATGGTTCAAGGTCACTATACACCCTTTACCCAAAGACACTCCGTGGGTGAAGTGTGAGCCAGATTGGGCCAAGGAGAGTGAAGATATGCTCCGGACAAGAGATCTCGGACGGACAGACGGACGGACGGACAGCTAGACGGATGGACGCACAAACAGATCACTGTAGGGCGCCCGCATTAATGCCCTAATTAAATAATGCACATGGGTCTATGTCCTGGCTATCTCTTTATCAGTATCAGGACAGGCACGTATCTCGAATCGGGATGTGTCCTGTACTCAGACAGGTCTGTGTCCTAGATATATCGGTACCAGGACAGGTACATTTCAGAAGTTTCTGTCCTATACCCAGACTGATATTAATAATTATTCTGAGGTAAAGTAATTAACACTTTATTGACCCTCAAATACTATATAATTAAACCCAGTATAGACACCGTATACTGTATTATAACGTCTTTACACGCCTCCGTACCTTGCTGTAATTAAGCCTTTGTAAATATATATATATATATATATATATATATATATATATATATATATATATATATATATATATATATATATATATATATATATATATATATATATATATATATATATATATACCCGGACTACCCTTGGCCGCTATCGTATCATCGTATCACACTATGATAAAGTCCGGCTTACGTAATGGAAAAAGACATCCCGAGCACGATGTCTGTCAAAAATTCTAAGGAAATAAATAATAATGAGCGAAAATGTTTGTTAAAAAGTTTCATTTCCCTATAATATCAAATTTATTATATTATTATTTATTTATTTTTATTATGTATCAAATTTTATAACGAATTTTACATACGAAGACGAAACAAGGCGATCTAAGTACGGACTGAGGCGACCACATCACGAATATCAATGGTAACGATCTTTCTACAATGATGAAGGATTAGATATTACATACGATCCTCGTACGAATGACGACGATATATGGCAAGATACATACTCGAATTTCCTACGACTTATAACAGTTTCATAGAATATACATGCTATGAAATGCATAAAGAGAGGTTTTTTTTGAAATTGTTTAACATCATATAAAAGGTGGTTGATCAGGGCAATACATACAATGCGGAGCTTTAATTATGTTCTATCTCTTCATGAATATATTGAACATGGTCTTGATAAGCTTTATGACACTTGCATTTTCAGTTCCTTTCCCCTTTTTATCTTCGTTCCTTTTATTCTAGATGGTATTTTAATTTTGACAGTGTTAACATCAGAAAACATCTGCCTACGTCGTATTTACTCGTACTTCAATTACATAGTACTCGCATTGCACTTGCCATCAATCGGCTCTTTTCGTATCATATTCACGGGCATTTTCGAATGAGATGAAATAGAACATCTATGATTGTGTGATTTTATATTTGCTTTAAATTATCCAACTCGTTGAAATTGTACATATTAGTTCGGCAAGCCTTGAGAATATACACCATTTCAACTCTTCTGATGAAGCAAATATAAAATAACACTATATATATATATATATATATATATATATATATATATATATATATATATATATATATATATATATATATATATATATATATATATATATATACGCTTCATCTCCATAAAATTTTCACCCCTTACATGCATATGACTAAGTGTTTATTAAATTTGTAGCCAAACTCTCTACCAGTCCACTGTCTCTGGTGGAGTGTGGCCGAAAAAGTTCTTTCTGGTAAGAATTCAATATTTTATTTTCAGTAAAGTACTTAGGTGTAAAACTCTTCATCTCCCTACTTTTGTCTACTAGTGGATAAGAAGACTAATAAATGATTCCAAAAAGTGAGTGTATCAATATCATGAGGGATAGAACTCCTCTAATATATGTTTTCTGTATTTCATCATAAGCTTACAGAAGCCCAATAGTGCAAAGCAAAACTAAATAAAAAGCGAAATTACAAAATAAAAAACTGAAACTAAATAAATAAAAAGAAAATACAAAATTAAAAAAACGAAATTATTGAATGAAAAACAAAATACAAAAAATAAAAACTGAAACTAAAATGCAAAATTTAGATGTGCATGCATGGTAAGGACGTGAACCCATGAATCATTCAATTAAGCGCACGTTGTTATAAAGCATTAATTCTATATATTGATCTGATTTTATTTCGACATTAATACAAGTGTGATAACGTTTGCATTTACACTCAGATATTCTCATATCAATAACTTAATAATTAGATGGAGCAGACGATCAGAACAGGGGAGAATTTTACCTTTGGTTATCTGATATGTTTAGATCTATGTTTTTATCTTACATTTATGTGAAGTTTGACCAGTCTGATGTATTGGTTTTTTATGCAAGTACTTTTTTCACCTTGTTTTGCCCAATTGCCCATTTCAGTGATAATGGGGTCTACTTCCTTATTAAAGTAACCTCTCTTGGACGAGCATGTCTTAAAGTTTATTAAAATTGTTGTTAGGTTAGATGAATCACTTGTGTTTTTTGCATGTCTGATGCGTTCACCTTGTATTTTCTTTTTTTATTTATTAATTTCGTTTTTTTTTTGTATTTTCGTTTATTATTTTGTATCTATGTTTTTACTTAATAATTCTTTTTTTATTTTTTATTTTCTTTATTTTAAATACTATTTTTGTTTTTTATTTACATGTAGTATGTTCTTTTTTATTTTTGTTTTTCCTTCTGAATTTTCGTTTTTATTTAGTATTTTCGTTTTTTATTTAGTTTTGGTTTGCACTATTGGGCTTCCGTACCCTACCCACCAAATTGGTAATATAAATATATAAAGCGTAGGCATAAACTTGTTTTGGTAAATCATCATTCTATACATAGAGGGCGCGTCATCAAACTAACACTGACCTCTATCCTAAAGGACAAATTACATCAAAGTTTTGATTTTTATTCATACCCGGCTCTGCAGCGGCAGTGAACTGTCGGGAGAATAAGCTCTGCTTGATTTCATTTATTTTGAGACCAGACAAAGATTGACATACTTTCAACTATTTTACAGCGTATATTTAGCATTGTTTGTGGTTATTTCAAATATTTGTAGATTTTTTTTTTTATAAATAATTGAGTTGCGTGACGTCATAATACAAATGTATGTTACGTTGCTATATAGATTCAGAGGCGGATCAAGGATTCACAAACCTGAACAGATTTATAGTGATTTTTTGGCAAATGGTATTCGGTGAAAAGTTGATATACATTACGTTGTGTACAAGCTACAAAGGTACATGTAGCTCAGCAGATGACGACGACGACCGCTTTTTATAGAATGTTTTCCCCGCAGTTCAGAAATATCAAAGTAGTCCCATTCCTAACACTCAAAGCTCGATGTTACACAAATAATGTAGGTAGCAAGTGACCTGTGTGTACACATTGAGTAAATCATGCGCTACATGTAATTGCCCTTACCTGAATAGAAAAAAAAATTGACTGCTCAATTATGTGTTTCACGAATGTGTCCTGATTTTGATCCATAACGATGAAAAAGAACCTTATTATAAAACAAAGTGTGAAAATTTATTCCAAAGGTACATTAAAAGCAAATAATAAAAAGACACCAACATTCCCTGTAAAATGGGAATAATGAACCTGATTTAAAGGGTTTTTATCACGTATCTAAGTTTCTTAAAAATGAAACACTATTATATTCTTGAAACATATACCTATCGTTTAATTATGAAATAATGTTGAAAACGGCCGTAATTAGACGATAAAACGCCCGTAATATAGGGTTCTCGAAGTGAAAATCTCCTCTAATTAGATAAGGGTCACGTGGTACTGAAACGTCATAGGTGTCAATGGTCAATAGAACTCGTAAAGCTTATCGTAAGAAAAAATGTATTGAATAGATTTTTACGCTAAATAAATAGAATACACAATATGGCCGGTAGAAATTTTATCATCGACTATAATCCTTTGGTTATGGACGGTCAATCTTTTATGTATGAACGTCTGGCAGTGAGAAATAACCAGAAAATATGCCGACAATTTGAGAGGTCACCGAAGACGAAGCCGTTGACAACTTGGGACTTCGACTAAGTAGAACGAATTACTAAAGTTTAAATTCGTAAACATTTATAAATATGGGAATTTTAAATTCTCCTTCATTATTATTTTAATTAATTATATATAAATAAATCGTGATCGATCGGGCATAAACGATTGTTCTGAACTGAGATAAACGCCATCGCATTTGCAGAAAAAGGCCCCCCTTTCATCTCTCGACCAAGTCCAGGAAATGTGAAAAAGAAATTCTTCCTGAATCATTTCTTGGACACATTTGTGCATCCTAAAGCCATAAATTATACCTTACTAGCTGTCAATTATCCAATTTTCTCTTAATTATTTTCTAACAGGTTTAATAGACACTACAAATGAACCCTTTTGTATACACAATAAAGTACTTCGCTTGACCAGGATTGACACCTATGGCGTCAGAGCAATGGCGCGTAACATCGGCGATCAAAATATGCATATTGAGAAATTCAAAGTTTGAATCGCTGAAACATCAAAAATATTAATCTTCTAGCTAAGATTTTTAAATATATGATTTTAATAGCATGTAAACTTTGTCATATCAAAAAATTTTGAGACGTGATAAAAACCCTTTAATCTTTAATTGTTGTGAAATTTAAAAAATGAATATTTCCGTTTGTGAAAGGTTATTCAGAGTATACCCTCCCCAAAATCAATACATGATGTAGAAGGACATGTCCTCAATGAATGTGTTATCCTCTACATTTAACTTTCAGTATCTTTTGAGCCCATTTTGCAGTAGAATGTGTAATGTTCCGACAAAGAAACAAATGTATAGAAGATTGATTTGTAAAAGATTATTTTCAAAAGCATCATTTTTATTTTGACCTGTATGAGTGGTTCGACTTCCAAGCTTTGAAAAAGATTTCCTCATTGGCCGAGTCTTGTTGTATGGCAAGGCATTTTTGCATTTTTAGATGCAGGTATAATGCAAAAAGTGATTATATTGATATAGTTGGTTAGACTGTAGGAGACATTTTTGAATTATTACTTATAATATACTAAGAATATTTCTATTGTATCGATTTATGTGTATATTTGGCATATTATTGTTTCCTTAGCTTTTAATTGTTTAAATATTTATTTATTGGCAAAATAAATTTCATGCAGGAGGAGCATTTGTTGAAGAAATTTTGTAGACAATCCAATCACACTTACTGCAAGAAGTATTCGGAAGAGAAAAATTCTACGTTGTGAGTCTCTCTATTTCTCTCTTTTCACTTTATGCAACATCATATAATGAAAAAAACAAGATTTTTACACACTCAAAATTTTCAAAGACATTTAAACGATTTTTGGTGGGAAAATGCAGTGTATTTTAGGGTCAAATATCCTATAATAGTGTTTTCATTACAGTTTCAAAGACAACTTCTTAAAGCTGGTGATATATTATGAAGATATGAACTACGAGGAAATTTCAGAGGAACCATCATATGATGTGAGATTTTTCAAAAAATCTTAGCTGTTCCAACATTTTCATGTCAATGTATGCGAGTCTATATCAATTTCATTCAAAATCTTATTGTATATATATAAAATCGTACAGATCTTAAAAGAAACATAAGCTTTGCAATCAGTAAATAACGCCTTTTTCAAGCTAGCAGAACACTAATATTGATCCTTGATTATCACTCCTTTGTTTGTGTGCTTCATCATTATTCAGAAACCCGTTTTTTACATACATGATATTATGTGCAAGTTGCTCTTTCTTACCTTCATTTATGATTAGCTATAGCTTGTTTGGACTAAACAAAATGTTAATTATAGCTGAGTTAGAAAACTGTGTAAATATAACTTGTCACCCTTTGTTTCTGAATCAGATACTCTCATAAGTTAGCTATCCAGGTCGATATTGGCAGATTATTGAAATAACTTTACAACAATTTCTTCCGGGAAGTAGAAATTTAATATTTGAAATTATCTGATTTAAATTTAAATCAGGTCTATCCTCTAAATTTTATATGTATGCATAAATAATAAATACGGGATTTTAAAGTAATGGTTGATTTGTTTTAGATAAACATTGTGATCTACATTTATGTGTAAATATTTACATGTGCTGTGCTTTTCTACTTAGCCAACTGTGAAATTGATTTGAAAGCCATTTTTGTGTAAACTTATGCGTAGAAATATACACGGAGAAACTCGCGCTAAAGTGACGTCACAATGATGCTACAGAGACGTTATAAAAAAAAAAATGACGATATAGGGCAGCAAGAAATTCAAACATTGAGTATATTTTTGGTGCATTTAACATGTAAAATGTAAATATAAGAAATGTTTTTTTAAAGTTTAGTGTGAATTATCTGTGTGTAAATCACACAGACTTGCACGTAGGCATATTTTTCATGAAGCGCTAGCGCGCTTCATGAAATATGCCTACGTGACAAGTCTGTGTGATTTACACACCAATAACTCACACGAAACTTAAAGAATTCCTTAAATAAATATGATTTGTTTCAATACATACATTTACATTCAATACATGCTTAGATTATATCTTATATTAAAACAAATTCAATAACGGCTCCCCTTGTTATACATGTAGTTAACTTATATCATAGCTATTCAATCAGTACTATTGGATAGATAAAGAGAACTATTGACATTACATGAGCACTGGTTTCATTTTCACTGGTCCTGGAATAACAGGGGGTTTCAGTTTGGCTATTGTATTTATATCACTATTGAAAACATGAATGGCTAGATGTATCAGGACAAAGTTAGATATATGAATGGGTCAATGATTCTTTTGGGTTCAAAGCGGGGGATTTTTTCATGCAGGATAAATAACTCGACCCTCGGAGGGGATGTTTGCCCTGAAATATTCATCTTTCCTGTCGTTTGGTTGAACAAATATGACCGATGTACGCTTTGGAACAGCGTCAAAAGTGGAAATTCAGGCCATTTTGGAACGTAGGGCCAGTACAAACACAAAAATGTAGTTAAAACGGCAGAAAACATACTTAACGATTTTCTTTTTACATGTGGCTTATGCCTATATCTTTTGGCCGCTATGGTTCAAATCAATAAAGAGGGTTAAAGTGAAATGCAGCACAAGGAAGTAATTTTGCGAGGAAGACTTGGAAACATTGTCGTACAATTTGAGACATTCAATCAAAATTTGGCCCAACATACAATTAAATGTTAACTCACGTATATATATGCAGTGAACACGAGCTAAAAGTACAGGTACATGTAGTTGCTGTTTTATGGTACTCAAGAGACCTTATCTTCTACATGTATATATCACTACATTTATTTATAGTTTTACATTTTGAATTTTAATGTTGATATATAATTAATTTGGAATGAATCCGGACAACCGCGAGGCACGTCCGGTCAGTCTGGTCTCCTGTTGATATGTGGTTTACCTAAACGATCGAATTAATTATCGTTAGTTAGTATTATTCTACGAAGAAGTAAATCATACAGCATTGTACTCTTTCCTTTCCAACCAACAAAGACCTAATGAATAGGAAAGCACGATACTGAAATGAATTAAATAATCAATGAAGGAAATTGTATAAGTATGACAAAACTAGGAGATGATCCTCAATTGTAAGTCATCTTTTCTAAGTTATTATATCAGTATACAGGACATACAATTTCCTTGAACAACTTAATTTGATTTGATCTCTAGTTTCTATATTTAAAAAAAAGAGACAATAGAAAAAAAAGTGTTTGTGCCCATTATATTCAAATTTTACTTTATCATTCTCTGTAAAAAATAATATAATAAAATACCCCTTTCATTCGGTCAATCCATAGATATAGAATTCTCACAGAAAAACATATCAACCTCTCACTCCGAGTTCGGTCGATAGGCATTTCTGTTAAGTTGATATATCTATGGATCGACCTCATAAATTTTCAAAATTGATATAAACAGGTTTTCTAACAGACAATAATGTTCTCATTTCAGATCTTCAGATTTTTGTCCGACTTAGGAGGAGCTATGGGACTCTACTTGGGAGCTTCTATTCTGAGTTTTCTCGAATTGGTGCAACTGTTTGTTGAACTTTCCAATTACCATCGTCACAAATGTCTTAAAAGAAAAAGCAAAGTAAATGAAAGTCAGATTATCATCGTTAAACCGACAAAAGATACCACTGTATCAAATAACAAATTCACAGTTGTTAAGGAAGAAAGTGATTAAGTATGAAGTACATAGATTTATTTTATTTAGGGAATCGACTTTGGTTAACAGGGGAAAATTGAAATCTTCAATTATTTGTCAGCGCGTAAACACAGAACAAGCCGTCACGCTAACGTAACTTTACACAACACGCCGGAGATCTTTAACACAACACGCTGTCGTGCTAAATAACAAGCAACGAATCGTATAAAGTTGTGTTAGGGCGACGGCGTGTTGAATATAGTTGGATCAGCGTGACGGCGTGTTGTAAATTGAGTTGGATCAGCGTGACGGCGTGTTTTGTGTTAGCGCGACAGCAGCTTTTCATGTAAAGTTATGTTAGGGTAATGGTGTATTGTGTGAAACTGCGCCGTCGTGGCGTTTTGTGTAAATTTAAGTTAGGTTTAATTATAATACACATTTACGGACTGTGTTCGAGGGCAACATGCGTCTTGTCGGACCACAGAACAAAAGTGTTTGCTGAGGCCGTTGTTTTATTATACCTTTTACTTTTTTTGGACACATCTTTTGCTGGCTTCCTTGATGTATATCTCACAATGCGGATTACCCTTGCCCATTTCATTAACTGTCGAACACAAACGGATGCAAACAAGATAAAGGTGAACAAGATAAACTTGATCCCCCCCCCCCCCCGTGTAACGTAAGCGGTCCAATACCTCATCGACATGTCTAATATCTAAATCTGCTGTCTAACATCGATTTTTTTTTTACCTTTCAAGAAAACACGGGAAATGTAAGACTTTTTTTAAAATATAGATTTGCGTAGGAAACAACTTTTAAATGTTTAGAAAATAACAGTTTTGTTGCACTCCTGATTTCACAGAACATAGATTTTCATGTGAACAGAAAAATTAATAAAGTTTTGTCAATAAAGTTTTACATGTAATAAAATTAAGCAATATTTATCGCCCCGATGCTTCATTGTAAAATGCATGATATTGTTAAAACTTGGCTTTATGTCTTGAGTTATTCCCTATTGATGTCATAGAAATTAGCTAAAATATATTTAGAAGATTAAAAGAATATTTTCAAAGACATTTTTCTACATGTGATAAACATTATAAGCAATTCAAGTCAACAAGAAACATACTACTAATATTTTTTTCCTTTATATTTTTCATATTTGACCATCGATAACTGAAACATTTTGTTGCACTCCTGACCAAGGGCATGCGAGTCTTTAGGGTTGTGACGCATAAATTACAACAGAATGTGTTCTGTTGGTCCAAAAAAAATTGTAATGGAATTATTTGAATTTTAGAACAATTTTGCGGTGTTTTTTTTAATTATTTCTTTAAAAATTAAAAGAAAAGATAAAAAAAAACATCTGGATTGATTAAATTGAAAAAGAGACAAATTTCAATAACAAAACTGTCAATAATTTAGTACTCAATTATTCGGATAGATCCTTATTGATCAAAGAATACTTATTTGTATACAAGTCATTTCATCGCTGAACTTGTTTGCATCTTTAAAAAAATGTGTTGCACTCCTGACCATAGAATATGGATCTGAAACACAGACAGACACTGTAAGTGATAAATCTAATTCGTAAAAATGTACTTTGTATTTTTATTTTCCGAAATAGAAAACAAAGAATCATATACAAAACATTTATTGAATGTTGCACGCCTAACATAAAGGGGTATGTACAAATACTTAACTCTTATTAATGCTGTTTTCAATTCATATAAAAAGAATGTTGCTTGTAAATAGTATATCAGTTATTGTTTTACACTTTGAAAATTCTCTTTTGACTTAATAATCATACAGATTTTTAAATCAATGTTTGGTCGACGAAAAGCTACTACAGTCTAAATTTAAAGCTCAATACATTGAATTTTATCAAGAGTGTCGTTATTTCCAACACAAACCATCATTATATATTCAATTCATAAATTAAAAAAAATATTATGTTTTCAAAATGTCACAGAAAGGAGTTGCACGCCTGACATTTTTAGGATCATTTTGGGCATAACATTTTTGTGACTTAAGATATCAGAGAGATATTTGGCAGGTATTAAGCCAGTATCAAAAGACATATGCTGAGTCAAAGAAATTTATTCAAAACGCCTTTACCTAAGTTCAGATTGATAAATATGTGTCCGATCATTTATTTGAATTCACCCAAATGCATTTTACAATGCATACTTTCAGTGACGTCATCTGTTATTTTACCTGTATTTCTAATATGTGTTCTGGTTATTTTTATTTTTAAAAAATCTAATTCAAAGAACTGTAAGTCAAACCTGGACAAAGCATAACTATTAATGTTTTTAAAAATAGAAATACATTTATATATCTGAGAAACATATATAAATTCTACAGTGACTGTTTCAAATGAAAAGATTTTCATAAAACACAACAAACAATAGAATAAGGATATTTTAATAGCAGAAGATGTGTTGGATTAACAGGCAAGACCGAGCTTTCCCATTTTGTCCTTTGTTCACCGCATTACGTTTGCTATTCTCTTTGTAAAACTTTGGTTAAATAATTAAGCATGTAATTTTACTACTTTCGTGTTTGTTATATATATTTGTTTTACAATACTTGTACATACATGTACTGTCATACAGTGCAGGGAACTAATTTTGTTACAGCATCGATGCTGATTTGAATGCTTCCTTTGCTTGCTGATTTGAATGCTTCCTTTGCTTGCTGATTTAATGCTAGTAATCCTTATCCTGATGCTGTTTTATAATTAGGTCAATGCTACCGGAAGTAGCATCATGCTACCGGAAGTAGATAATGAATTTCAGCATTGCCGTTTAAAGCAATAAAAGTGCCTTTTCCAATTATTTGATCATAATATCTCACTATTTATCAATAATGTCAATACTTTTACCAATATTTTTCTTTCTTTTTTAATTTTTTACTGAATTAAAACTCATTGATTTTCTGATGCTAGTAGGATAATGCTGATTTTATGTAGGTCAATGCTGGTTTTATCCTTTGCTTGCTGATGCTGATCCTGGTGATGCTGTTTTATAAATGGTGATGCTGATGCTAGATCGATCCTGATGCTACTAATGCTTATGCTGATGCTGGTTTATGTGACAAAATTAGTTCCCTGCACTGTAAGAGCTAGCTTTGTCTGAATTTTCATGCCATTTGATATTACGATGCTTTCTTACATTTATGTTACCCAAACGTAATTTTGAAATACATTGTTTTTATTCTGTTTCTTCTTATTTATAATTTTTTAATTATTATGAAGGTCTTCCGTCTTCAGCGGAAGACCTTTCTTGTTATTCTTAGGTTTCTTTTCCATTTTTCCCCCTAAAAATTCGTACTGATTTAAAGCACGCGGGTTCTCGGAAACGGTTTGTTTGATTTTCATAAAATTTTCAGGCGTGATAGAGCATAAAAAAAAATCTAGATATATATTTGTTATTTTAATGACGTCACTTCCAGTTTGAAGAGTTTCGCAATTTAGTGATTTTTAAAGGGTCATTTTGTCCGCAAGTTTTCTAATAAACTTCTTATCATAGGAGCGTGTAATTTTCAGCAAAGATAGGGCAACATATGTGAATGTGTAGTACATTGTTCATTAACACCCGAAGTGCCAAACGTTGACACTCGCTTCGGCTCGAAAAAGGCATATTAAAAATTTCAAATTTTTGAGACGTTTTCTACAGTACTTCGTTACTTACGAATATTTTGTAAAGACATGAAGAAAAAAGTTTTTCAGAATTTAATGTTCTTTCGATTGATATAAGAAAAATGGCTCAACTAGGATATATGAATAAGTAGTACCGGTAAATATTTTCATACGCCAAAGGGCTTAAGAATTGATGTGTATTGCTAAAGAATAGGAGGAAATTTGGAGAAAATCTATGTAGCGTAGGAACTTTTTGGTACAATTGTGGACGTGTAAACAGGTGGATAGGTTGAAGGTCGACATGATGACAGGTTGACAGGTCGACAGGATGACAGGTCGACGAGTTGACAGAATGTTTAGTTGACATGTCGACGGGTCTTTCCCCCAAAAAATTGTGCAGGCGATATCTAGAAAAGTATTCTGTGGATTTCAATGAAATTTTCAAAAGTAATGAGCAATGATATGTACTTTGTTCATCGCAAAGAAAAGTTGTAAAATTCACTTCTCGTGCCAAGTTATGGTCAATTTCCTGATTTTAAAATGAGTTAATTTTGTCTTCCAAACTCCTATGGAACGGTTAAAAATGTGAAGTAAAGCATGTCACAGATCATAGAAGATGACTTTTAGATGTTCAGGTTTACTTTCGTGCGTCGCCTGTGCTTCTGGTCACATGTTTATTGTTTTCGCCTTTTTTAATTAAAAACAATTACCCTATTGAATTATTGTATAAAAAAAAAAAAAAAAAAAAAAAAAAAAACCAAAACCAAAACCAATTGTACTTTTAAAATTAATTTGTTATTCTTTTCCCTCGCAGAATTTATTTGCGTTATTTAACTTTACATGTCACAATACCTCTAACGTCTACTAAACAAACCAATTCTAAAAGGCACTAAGTTCAAGATTAACGAAATTTTCAATCATGAAGAGAGAAAATTGGAGAATGTGAATATAAGCATTGATTTCTTGATTTTGGATGTAGTCGGTCCTATAACAGCACCTGTCCGTGCAGACATATCAGACCTCGCTGAGGCGCGGTATTCAATTTATCGGCACGGCCATGTTCTGTTATAGGGCCGACGACATCCAAAAAAATAAGAATTCAATGCTCAATTAATCGTTATTCTAGAAATTCGTCTATTTTCACTTTGAAGCGTAGTGATCAACGTCGTTGATTCTTACACGGGCAACCCAGGTTCAATCCATAGAATGTCCGAAAATATTTCTCACTTTTCTTCAGCTTAATTTTGCAATTTTATTTTTAAAATGACGTTTGGTATTTATTTCCGTTCGAATTTTGGACAGTTTTACAAAAGATTTATTTTTTATGTATGAAGGATTGTACAACGGTAACACATGCTGTTTTATGATAGAGGAATGAATTCTCTGAGGACGTATG